CGGCACGGCACGGCACGGCACGGCACGCCGCCGCGGCTGCCGTTCCCATTGGAGTGCTAAAGGGGGGACTTTACAGCAGCCAAAGAAGCCAGTCTTCCCGTAGCCCCCCCAAAAAAAACCCAACCAGAGGGATGCGTGTCAAAGATCCACCTCCTACACGCTCCTAAACTGTTGTTTGTGAACGACCGTGACATGTAAACAAGCCGGCGTTTACGTTTTTAATTACAGCTTAAGTGAAAAGGGAGGAGGAGACCCCACTCTCCTTTTAAAATCACGCGGCGACAAACTCGGGACCTGTCGGGAGAGAAGGAAAACGCAAGGGAGCCGACTGAACTCGTGCCGGATTACACATTTAATCCGTTACGAGGTTGTAAAAAGTTTCTCGTAACCCGTATCCGAGTAATTTTTAATTGAATTTAATGGAGTGGGGCTTGGGGAATCCTCTTGAGGAAGTTTCAGATTTGCTTTATCACCTCCGCTGACCACAGTTGTGAGTGAAGGGTAGCGTGAGGTAGAGAGAGTGGAAATAACTGGGCACGCGTCTCTCGATTTGGCAGACCAGCGTGGTATTTACTTAACTCTTGTCTTCTAGAGGACCGATTGTTCTATTAAAACACCGATTTCCCTTCTTGGAGGGGGCCGAATCTTTTATTAGAGCACCAATTTCCATTCTTGGAGTTCATTTGCAGTAGTTTCATGTGAAAGCTGAGCGCCGTCGTGTTGTGGCTTCGGTTCGTTGTTTGCGAGATGCTTCTTCGCCGTCTTTAACTCCAGGCTGAGCGAGAGCTTGAGCGGATTTCGGTGGCAGAGACGAACAGGATCGGTCTTTGCGGTCAGATACTTAAACCCGCGGTAGCTAGGAATTTGTGAGCCGAGTGCTGGCTGGCTGGTGAGCGGAGTAAGCAGGTTTTCTTTTCTTTTTTTTTTAAATAAGGGGAATTAAACGTGCCTGTCCGCTTTACAGGGAGGATGGAGAAGCACTTTGGGAGCCGAGTGCCTGGCTGGCTGGTGAGCGGAGTAAGCAGGTTTTCTTTTCTTTTTTTTTTAAATAAGGGGAATTAAACGTGCCTGTCCGCTTTACAGGGAGGATGGAGAACTGGAAGAAGGGGAGCTGGAGGACGACGGAGGGGAGGAGGCGCAGGATCCCTCCGAATCTCAAGAGAGGGGTCGGAAGGAGAAAGGGGAGAAGCATCACAGCGATTCAGATGATGAGAAAGCCCATCGACGGATGAAGCGCAAGCGTCGGAAAGAGAGAGAGAAAGAGAAGAGGAGATCCAAGAAGAAAAGGAAATCCAAACACAAGGTGAGCCACGCGCTGCTTTTGCCTCCCGGGTCCTCCGGGATCCCGGCTCCGGTCTGCCTTCCTCTGCCATCAGGCGTCTCCAGGGAATTCCTCCTCTAACATTGTTACGGGTGGTTTGGGGCTCTTCCCCTAACGATAATTGCGAGGTGGGAGCGCTCGCGGGATTTCTTGGGGTTCAGCTCCTTAACGCCTTCCTCCTCTGAGGACTAACAAGCCCAGCAGCGGGGCACCGAGGTCTGCAGGTAGGATAAAAATGCTGCAGCACTCTCTTGTCCGTCTGAGGATGCAGAGCGGAAAGGAAACAGTTTTTTGGAGTTAGGTATTCACCTCGAAGGGGATTGCGGACTGGCGTATTTGCAAAATCAAGGATGTTTTTGTCACTCAAGGTCCAAGAATTTCTGGAGCGCAGAGGGCGTATCGTGTTTGTCTTCGTTAGATAACCTGCTAACAGGCTTCCAGTTTGTAATTCAGTGAACACCGTGAAGATTTTGTTAAGCAAAAATTGAGTTCCCTAAAAAAGGGAGGACAGAGGGAGACTTAGTTGCGTCGTATAGAAAGGCCAGAGGCCTGGCAGCAGCGTCAGAGTCAGAGCTGGCCTGTAATCAAATTGCACCGCCTGTTTTCCTTGCCTTGCAGCGCCACGCTTCTTCCAGCGATGACTTCTCTGATTACAGCGAGGACTCGGACTTCAGTCCTGGTGAAAAGGGACACAGAAAATACAGGGAATACAGCCCTCCCTACTCTTCCGTAAGTACCTGCCAGCGGACAGGGGAGGGGGAGCTGCTCTCCGGTTGAGAGCCGCTGCGGGATTTGAGCGCCGGTGCCCGTCTAGCTCCA